ACTTAGCAAAGCTAACAATATAGCGTTATTAGGGCTGTCTCTTATACACATCTAGATGTGTATAAGAGACAGCACACACACACACACACACACTCTCTCTCTCTCTTGAACAATCAATCAATCAATCCATCAATCTACACAAGTGGCACCTTGCCCTGGGGTTTCCATGCTTCACCATTTGTTCCCATTGTCATCATTGCAATGATGTATAACTTATAAGACTATAAATGCCATGTAAAGTGGGTATTCTTGATCTGGCTTCTCTGCTGCCCTCCCCTCCCCCCACCCCCCGAACCCACACACACACACAACACTCCTTTTTTGATGCCCCAAAAAAAAGAAGAAACAAGTGCCCTTTTCTCAGTCAAAATAACGGCTAGAAAGTAGTAGAGAATAGTAAAAATTTACCTGAACGTATCTTCACCGAAATCCTGGAAACATTCCATGGAGGAGTTCAATGGCATACCCATTGTAGGATTCCCTCACCACATTGGTAATCCAGGTACAAAAGAAGGACACACACATGAAAAACATGAAAGAAAAGGAAGGAGGGCGAGACATTAGTCAATGACTCAATGAGATGATTGAAGAAGATTGAAGAAGATCCCTGCGATACCCAAGCCAAAAAGATGCAAATATATATATAGAATAACAAACCCGAGAGACGAGGAACAAAAAGAAAAAAAAGAAAAAGAAATAATATGAAATAAGAGGGGGCCAAACGACCTAGCTGTCGCATACCGTAAAGGTGCAAACCAGAACAAGAACAACCGACCTCTCTCACAAAGTACAAGATAACACAGCGGAAGGCTTAAATACCAATGATCCAAACCATCAATGTCGCAATGTAGCCCAAACATACATCATCATCATTCCATGGTGTGAAGGGGCCTGGCGCTCACACAGGAAGAATGCGCCAGTCCCCAACCATACACAGACGAAGAAGAGGGGGGGTAGACGAAGAAGAGGGGAAGATGGGAATGTCGTTAACACCAAGTCTTCGGCACAGGCCCCAAATAATCCCTCGTCAAATGTCTGAATCCCAATGTCAAGTCTGGATCCAATGTCGTCAAGTCCCAAAGTCACCAATCTCTCTCTCTCTCTCTCTCATAGTCTGCAGGTACTGAGAAGTTAGGTAGCGAGAGGGGGAGGAGGAGATAGTGGACTTAGAAGAGGAAGAAGAAGAACTCTCTCTCTCTCAGTCCAGTACTTACCTGTGAAGGTGGCGCCTTGTTGCAGGTACATCGAAGACGAAGCTGGAGCTATGGCTCCACAGGTAAGTCTCCCTGGCCTCCGCCAACCACCTCTCTCTCTCCAATACTACTCTAGCTGCTAATAGCGCCCAGCTCTGAAGACTACTGCTAACGCTACTACTACCACTGCAGCGCTCCTCCAGAGTGCTGCTGCCGAATACTGAAGACTGCCTCCTGCCTCCTGCCTCCTGCCTCCTGCCTCCTGCCTCCTGCACGTGAAGTGCCTCGGAAGTTCCTAGGAACTACCTCGTGACTCTCTGCAGCCTGTAGGGTGGGCCAGTCTTATATAGTGCTGGCCTGTCCAGGAGGCTGCTCTTGCCAATGCCAAAACGTGCCAGACCCTGGCGTTGAAGTTCGACCAAGGGTTGTCTTGAAAACAGGCCAAAAATGGCCTGTGCTAAAACCCTGGTCTGGTGCCTAAGTTTCAGGGCAGGTCGATCTTATGAGGGCCTGAAAATGGCCCTCCGTTTCAGGTTGAAAAGACTCAGGGCC